TATGACGATAATTATTATTAGTGGATGCATTGCACTAGGAACTCAATCCATCTTCTCATGGTCTCAAAACCCTAGAAAATGTCTATCTTCTTCTTGTCTTTCAAGTATCTGAGGGTTAGAGTGCGCTTTGTGGCATGGAACCTTTCTTGCTAGAAGATCTGATACCAACTAAGTCAATGATGAAGGTAGAAGATGATTTGGATGTCGGGGAGCTATGGCATTTTTTTGTGATTGTATTGAAAGTCATCTTCTTCGATTGAGTGTAATTGGTGTTATGATTTATGACTTTGGATCATAAGAAACCTGATTGTGGAAATTCGCAGGAATCATAAGTCAATTCCCACAGACGATGTCACTGTTCCTCTACGAAATCAGAAATTTTTGGTGAAATGATGAAGTATAGTCTTAATGTGATGGAGCGAATATTCAATGCGACATCGCACAGGGTGGACCGATAAGATTCACTCAGTAAGAGAATGAGTAGTAATATAAGTTATGATTTAGAGAATATCTCAAGTTTCACGTCAGATGCTTTATATATGAGAAGTGGTTATGAATGTCCCTTGCCATTTTATAGCGGAATGCGGGAGGCCGTCTACTGATATTTAACGGCTGACAACAACTCATAACATGGATCTAATGTAGAGTGTAACACCCGGAAATTCATTAAATTATTTAAATGAATTACTAAGGATTTAATTGTTGGAATTTAGTCGAAGAAGGAATTATCGGAATAATTATAAGGAGCATTATTGAATTAAATATATATTGTTAGAATTGATAATCGAATAATTAGTCAATTTAGTCAAGAGAAATTAATATTGGAAATAATGTTGATTTTAATAGAATGTTATTTTATTAGTTGGGTCAAGTGGGGTGTGTGAAATAGCAAGATTGGGAATAGCATTAACAGGCCCATTAAAGTTACTAGTAGACCTATTATTATTATATTAGGTTATGATATATAGAAGCTAGCAGCCAAAAACCAAAAGAAAAACAATTATCATGTAGCAGTAGAAGAAACAAGGTTTTGGAGGCACCAAGTGGGAGGCAAGAAAATTTAGAGAAGTTACCGTCAAACTAGTTACAGTTTCAACCGGAGAATTCGACCGACCGGAAAACCAAAAGGTAAGGGTGGGGTTCGGATTTTATAACCGGTAATATGATGGTTAGTATGTGGGGATTTAGGGTGTGAATTTATTGTTGTTTGTGTTTGTTTATGGCAATGGATGTTAGGAATTAATTAGTGTTGATTATTGGTGAAATTTCATGTTCCTGTGTTATGCGTTGGTTAGTTTGTGAATCTTTATACGGTTCTGTGAATAGAATGAAACTGGAGAAGTAACAGGAAGTTGCAAAAAATTATGCATGATGGGGCATGCTGATCGTCAGGCTGTTCGTTGTTGTTGGATGTTGGTCGGCAAGGTGGGGATGAAGAGTGATGATCGGCAAGGTGTGTGGATAGAGGTTGTCGGTCGGCATCCTTGAGAGAGAGAAGAGTGTCGTTTGGCACTGGGCATTTGTTGGAAGAAGAGTGTCGTTCGGCACTGGGTGTTGATGTTGAAAGGGAGTGCCATTCGGTACTAGCTGTTGGACAAACACTTATTTTCCTGCAGCTTAGCAATATATTATCAGTAGCCTACATATTTTAGCATAGAATTTATAAATACAAAGGAATTAAAATATTCTTATCATTAGTATGCTATAGCCGAAGCAACTTTAATAGAAGTTGTCTATATGTCACTAACCTTAATTAAGTAGTTTCAATATAATTTTAACAGTCTGTAGTAATAAGACAGAGTTAGAATTAATCAGTAAAGTTGCAGTAACTATTTGGGAGGATTAATTAAATAGCAGAAGAAAATATATTGCCATGTAGTGGATTTTAGAAGTGAATATTAGGAGAATAATTAAATAATAAAGAACTAATACATAGAGATTTATGGGAGCGTTTTGGAAACGACTATCATGTTTGTATTTTCCTTTGTGATGTACGTTGATGTTATGATGTTGCGAATATTTTTGTGAAGTTGCAAGAATGGTTATGAAGAAGATTTACCTCTATTAATTGACAATATTAGTGATATAAGCGTATGCCTCATGAAGTGTTTAATGATATTGTTGTATGTGTTGTACATTCATACATTTGCATTTGTGAAGGCCTGTATTGGCAGATTTATGAAGTAGGCTTATGCCTTGTGCCTCTATTAATTGGCAATTAGTGAAGAGGGCTGAAGCCCTGTTGGTACCACATGCATATGCACAGTTGTGTCGCATTCGAATTGCATTTTGAATCGCTAATGATAATTGTGAATGTTTATTGAATGTTGTGTGTTGTTGAGAAGCGGTGAAATTCATAATGCTCTTGTCTAATATATTAATTATCATAATTTTATTTATATTATTCGATATCTCACCCTTTATTTGTTTCGTCGTTGCCTTTATACTGGTAACGTGCAGGTAACGAGGAGTAAAGACTTAGTAGTTTGTTGGTGTCGTCGCTCTGATACGTAGCACTCGGGGGGATAAACACTTATTTGATTTTTTGATGTTTTCAGTTTAATCTAAGTTGTTATTTTAAGAAGTTGTTTTCTTTGAATTAAGTTGTTTAAAAGATGCTATGTTTCTTTTGAAGTTTTAAAGTTGTGAATCTATTGCGTATTTATGGAATCAAGTTGAAATATTTTGGAAGACTAATTAATTATTATAAGTTCTTTGGATTAATATGTGCTATGTATCTATTATGATAGGTTTTCATGTTGTGGTTTTTGAAATGAGAATGTAATGCTTCATGTTTGCGGAAATTTTGGCACTCGAATTTTAATATAACTGTGGGGTAGACTTGGAGTGTTACATAGAGCAACATAGTAAGATTATATAGAGTAAAGTTACACGGTAACTTCAATACCTTGATGGAGAGACTTTAGATTGATGATTGAACCTCCCTCTTTTAGACTTGTAGCCAATTCAAAAGAATCTCAAAGTGATCGATGAAATAACTATTCTTGCACTTATTTAAAAAATATTTAATCTAGTTTAATGCTTTAAAGTCATAAAAAGTAATAAAATCAAGAATAATGATATTTCTGCATCTATTTTCTACACTAATACTTACATCAAACACTATTTACCGTATGAATACGTAAATTGTTATATATATATATATATATATATATATATATATATATATATATATATATATATATATATATATATATATATATATATATATATATATATATATATATATATATATATATATATATATATATATATATATATATATATATATATATATATATATATATATATATATATATATATATATATATATATATATGAACAATAAAATATTATGATAATAATATTTATTTTTAAAAAATTTATATATTTTAAATTTGTTTAGATTAAGAGGTACCGATATAAAATTGTGTTATTAACCAATTTCATAACTTCATTAATCAATATTTTATATTTTAATTAACCAACTTTATTTTATTATTGTTAATTTAAAATCTGAGTGTTTATTAACTAGTTTCCTAATTTCATTAATCAATATTTTACACTTCATTAATCAACTTTGTTTTATTATTAAAAATTATCTTTAATATCTGAGCGTTTATTAACCAACTTCATAATTTCATTAACCAATATTTTACATTTCATTAACCAACTTTGTTTTACTATTGAAAATTATTTTTGATATCTGAACGTTTATTATTCAACTTCATCACTTTATTAATTATTTTTTTAATGTTTTATTAACCAACTTTATTTTACTATTAAAAAAAATAAATAAAAAATATTTATTTATTTTTTAAATTAATATTATTATAATAATATTTTATTGCTTATAAATATATGTTTTTATTTGAAAAATACTATTCACCGTATAAATACAATGAATTGTATTTAGTGTAAATATTAATGTAGAAAATGGGTGTAAGAATATCATCACTCTAATATCAAATTGGTTTGAAATTTTGTTTCTTCTCATCGATTTCTCTTTGTAAATGGACTCTTTTTTATTAATTGTTCTAATTGTTTATAAAAAAAAATTATATTAGTTTTTTTTCTCAAATAATCTAATGGCTAGAATTCATTTTTTTTTTAAATTGAGCAAATAGAAGTCGCGGGTTTGAATTCATATCTTTGTTATCGATGTTTATGCACAATTATTATCTGAGTTGAACCGGATTAACTTGATATATTAGAACTTATTTATCTCTAATAAAAGTAGATAGTGTAATTGATGAATAATATTTAATTTATGACTATTAATACATTACTCACACTTAATGTTGATTTTTATTATCTTAAGATAAATTAAAAAAGAATAATAAAAAAATGTTTAAAAAGTTAAAATTTTGCAAAGAGTGAACAAATGTTGTGGAAGAGTTTAGTAAATTAAGGAATAGGCCAATCTAAAAATGGGGTAAGGGGTAGCCCTCACATGGAACATGATTGGCAAAGTCATCAAATATTAATGACCAATGGGGAAGTTGGCATCTTTAATGCCATTCCTATATGTTTCAACCATTTTCTCTTACTCATAAACTTTGCACATTGCATTATTAATTTCATCAATGCCATCTTTCTCACGTTATAATTTTGACTTTGGTTTTGTTTCCTGTCTTCATCTTTTCAGCATTTCCTTCAACAAAGCCACTTCATGACATTTAAAACTATACAATTATAAGCTAAGTTTGTAGTTCCCAACACGCATTTTACAAGTTGTGTTTGTGTGTTTTTCTTTGTTTTTTATTAGTTCTAGTGTTGTTTTCTGTTGGGGTAGATCAACAAACTTTAGACGGAGAAAACAAAGTTGTGCCATTTTTTATACATTCTTTGTTATTTTTTGGTCCTGCAAGATAAGATTTTAATTAAGGGGTTACTATTTAGTAGTTCAAGGTTCAGGTTGTATTATCATATGCACTAAAATCATTGGAGATTAAGCACTGTTTTGATTCTTGGGTTATAGAGCTTGGAGGGGTAGCATTATGGGTGTAGTTAGTAATTCAGACTCAAATGGATCTGTTCAAAGTTGCAATGGTTTAGAAGAGAAGCTTGATGATCTTCGCGGCCTTCTTAGCAAGGCTAATGGAGATCCATTGAGGATTGTTAGTGTAGGAGCTGGTGCATGGGGGAGTGTTTTTGCAGCGTTGTTGCAAGACAGTTATGGTCAATTTCGCGACAAGGTACAGATCAGGATATGGAGGAGGCCATCAAAGATTGTTGACAAAGCCACTGCAAAGCATTTGTTTGAAGTTATCAACTCTAGGGAAGATGTGTTGAGGAGGTTGATTTGGCGTTGCGCTTATTTGAAATATGTTGAGGCAAGGCTTGGTGATAGGACGTTATTTGCTGATGAGATTCTGAAAGATGGTTTTTGTTTGAATATGATTGAGACACCACTTTGTCCTTTGAAGGTTGTCACAAACTTGCAGGAAGCTGTTTGGGATGCAGATATTGTTGTCAATGGATTGCCTTCGACCGAAACAAGGGAGATTTTTGAAGAGATTAGTAAATATTGGAAGGAGAGAATCACAGTCCCTGTAATTATCTCTCTGTCTAAGGGTATTGAGGCTGCATTGGAGCCTGTTCCGCATATTATAACTCCAACAAAAATGATTCACAAAGCAAGTAAGAGTTTTCTTCATCAAAATATCATTTCTCATTCTATAGTATGTGATACCAACCAATTTAGTACTATGTATACTTTAATAGCTGGAGTTCCCATGGAGAACATACTTTATCTTGGTGGTCCAAATATTGCATCAGAAATCTACCACAAGGAATATGCAAATGCTAGAATATGTGGCGCTGAGAAATGGAGGAAGGCTCTGGCAAAGTTTCTGAGACAACCACATTTCATTGTTTGGGACAATAGTGACCTTGTTACCCATGAGGTCATGGGTGGCTTGAAAAATGTTTATGCAATCGGTGCTGGTAAGCTTTGGTTAATCTGTTTTTCCATTTTCATAGCATACATTTTGTTTATGAATTACAATATTCTTATTCATGTCAGGAATGGTAGCAGCCCTTACCAATGAAAGTGCTACCAGCAAATCTGTATATTTTGCACACTGTACATCTGAGATGATATTTATCACTCACTTGTTGGCGGAAGAACCTGAAAAACTCGCGGGGCCATTATTGGCGGATACTTATGTGACTTTGTTGAAAGGCCGTAATGCATGGTATGGCCAGATGCTGGCTAAGGGTGAGCTAAGTCCAGACATGGGTGATAGCATAAGAGGCAAAGGAATGATTCAGGTATTATTAGTGTGTTTCTTCTACTTCTTAGTTCGTTCTATACATAAATGCTAAATTTTCAACACACGCCGATTGCATTTTTCAAGTGTATACAAATGTTGATTATGTGCATTTTTGGACTAGTTTGTTATTTCTTAAATCTACGGAACTAAATTGCCATAGTCAACATTTTATCTTCATTCAAATTCTTCTGACTAAACAAATAATGAAAGGAGAAAAACAAATGATTCTGCTATTTTATGTTTGCAGGGTGTCTCTGCAGTTGAGGCATTCTTTGAACTTTTGAGCCAATCAAGCTTGAATGTGTTGCACCCTGGAGAGAATAAGCCCGTTGCTCCGGTTGAGCTCTGTCCAATCTTGAAAACACTTTATAAAATATTAATATCCAGGTTTTTTCCTGTAACCATTAGCTTGAATCTTAGACACTTGACATGACACTGACACACTCTCCTTCAGGGTGCGATTCAATTGGAAATTCTCATATATTTATATTAATATTATCCCATTTATATGGTTTTTATTTTTGCAGGGAACAATCAACAAAAGCTATTCTCCAAGCTCTGAGGGATGAAAATCTGAATGATCCCCGAGAACGTATTGAGATTGCACAAAGTCATGCATTCTACAGGCCTTCACTGCTCGGACAACCTTGATTATTTATATGGATGGAGCATTTGGAAAGAAATATTTTTCATGGACATTAAACGTATTTATTTTAATAAGCTTTTGATAGACACTGTATATATATGGCAAAATATGAACCTCGTTCACATAATACTATGTTATCGCTCAATAACACTGCACTATATAGGAGTGTGATCCAATTTAATATTACTGCTAATGTTTATTTATCCGTGGATACAATATGGGAGCTTCTTTCTCTCTACATGTTGTTAAAATCACATCCTTTTATATTTAAAATCTCTGTTACGTGCAATTTGGAATAAAATATAGTCCAAAAGTATGTAATGCAAACTATGCCAAGCACATGAAATGTCTTCTGAGGCCTTAATTAGGAATGGTAGCTAGGACTAGAGTGTCTAGAATAGGGATATTTAGCTGGTATTTTAATGGAATTCAGCCAAGAGAGGAGGGACACCTAATAAGATAGCTTGTTTTGAGTGAGGGCAACAAGGTACTACTGCTTCAAGCCACCATTAACTACCTCGGTTTGATCATCCGTTTGAGAGGATGGTAGGCACTACTCATAGCTAGATTATGGAAAATCACCATTATTTCCCTCACAAGTAATAAATATTTTTGCAGGATTGGATCTTTGGCCTAATATTTTCAAGGAATTTTTCAGTATAGAGGTCATCTATGTTATGTTGGTGATTGTTAGCGCAACAATCGGAGGACGGTCGAGCGAGGAGTATTCTTACTTTGAGACTTTTCGATTTGAGCAACACATCTTTGTGGGAGACACACTATTTGTCCACCTAAAACCTTAAAGTGATAGGTGAATGGATTCTCCAACTTATAAATGTTCAAGTCCCCATATTCATATTCAATGTCGAGCTATTTTCTCACTCTCACACTTGCTAGATTCTCAACAGTGATGTCATTTCAAACCACAAAATTAACAAGTGGTTGGACCTTCAAAGCTTTCAATGATTAATTGATGTCGAATTCAGTTAACTCCAATGACCATATTGTCATCATTTTTGTGGCAACCAGTCGAAAAAGAATTTTCCTGATGGTTGGTTGCCTCTCACTACAATAGTATGGGCGAGGAAATATAGTCATAGTCCCTGGTGATCATAACTAAAGTGAATTCCACTTTCTCGATTTGTCGGCGGCGTCTCAACTCTAGTATTTGTAGTGCTTTACTAGTGAAATACATTAACATTTGTCCTTCTTGGGTTTCCTTAATTAAGAAATCCGACGACCTTTATTGATACTATCAAGTACAAGCATAATATGAATTTATGCGCTTGCAGGTATAACCATCATTTGATTTTAATGATGACAACTGTCAATTCCACCATAAGTCAAATAATATTTGGTGTTAATGATTCAAGAGTTCTTTGTGACAATTCTCAAAGGGAAAGTTGATAACAATTGTTCAGTGGATTCTGATTATGTCATATGAACAAGAAGAGATATCTCAAGCCACTTCAATCAGACGTTTCAAGTTTCAGTTTAAGTGCTAGACAATGTTGAATCAAGTAGAGGAACTTTAAGTCTTGAAGTTGTAAAACTAGGAAAGTTTAGTCATGTGCTTAGCGCTTTAGTTTGATCATAACTTATTTTCTGTTTTGATAAAATCTCTTAAAACCTTTTTGAGCACGCCCTTAATTGGTTAAAAGTTTGGTTAGTCAATTAGGAAGGTATTTTTACACAGATTAGTCGATTAAGGGTTTCCTATAATTAATTAAACCTATTTGTCACACCTCTTAATCGATTAAAAGAGTTGTAAATTGATTAGGTGATGTCGAAACTCAAATTTTCCTTATTTGGATTGGTTAATCGATTAACAGTTAGAGTTAATCGATTAAAATATTAAAAATTTCTATGGATAGTTTCTTTTTTGTGCCAATTTTTTTTATGTAAAGAAGACTTCTCCTCATTTTATTTCACACCAATTTTGTTAATAGAAACATTTCTACAATTCTTTCTAAATTTTTTTTTTTCATTAGAGTAGTTTTAGTGCCAAAAAAGTGAAAAGTTCCTTCTGATAATTGTGTTGTATTGATGTTGTACTATAATTCTTTTATTAAAGAGTGTGATTATCTAGTGTAATAAATTTGTAAAAGATTTGGAACTTTCAAGGTAAACTTGGAAAAAAGTTTGGGTGAAGGTAAACCCGTAAAACCTCTGGTTGTTGTTAGAAGGTTTATGTGTTGATCATTTGTAAAACCTCAAGTTGTAGTTGAAGGTTGTTTGGGATGATCAAGTAAGTTCTCAAAGTTATTTTTAATGGAAATCTCAGAAAGCAAACTCTTGGAAACAAAAGTAGGGCAAGTGGTTAGGGTAAATCTGTATAATTCTCTAGTGTGATCTTCTCTTTCCAATAATCATACCCTTCACCATTAAAACATGTACCTTTCTTTAATGAATCGTTTAAACTCATCCTTCCACTTGAGGTGGTTCATCTTTAAAGAAGAGTTAGGCTCTAATGCCACTAGTTGACCAAATGACTTCAAACACAAAAAAGGCGGGGGCGGGGGTAATTTGTTATATAAAAAAGTTTTTAAAACTTGATTAAACAAAACTATTTTTAAATTTTTTAAATATAATGTAAAACCCTAATTTTTACCCCTAAGATTCAACCTATCATACCATTTGCATTTACCGAAGATCATAAGCCTGGTATCCCCCTAACCTGTACCTCTTTGGTTCAATATTTTGTGGGGGATCTCGAAGCACCCTTTGTGTTATTTTTGCATTTATTGTTTGTTTACATTCAAAACTTTGATAACCTTATTCAAAATACAAAAATATGTGTTGCTTTTTTTTCCACTTTGTTTAAGGTAGGGATTTTCAATCAAAGGATCAAGCTGTGGTTTCTAAATTAGGGTTTTGGTTCTCAAGATCAAAGTGTGGTCAACAAATGGATATCAAGAGCTCTTAATTCAAGGCATGACCTATAATCTTAGGTCATATTCATGTCAAGCTTACTCAACATCATTTGATCAAGAGAAGTTCAAGTTTGGTGCATGATTTTAAAGATGATTCAAGATTTCTTCATGTGTTTATTTCCATGTCATCTCCATTCAATTTTCAAGCAATCATCAAGATTATTCAAGGGAAAATCAAGTTTCCTTCATTTTGTGCTCAAGTGATCATCATTGGGCATTTGGATGCAATAAAATGTCAAAAATCACAAGTTGGTACATGTTTGGGTGGCCTAAAATCAAGTATGGCATGTCACTTGGTCCAAACACCACAACTCTCTTATTTCTCAATATTTTTGGAATCTACTAAGATCCAAATGTCGCACTTGATATTCTCAACAACTTTTATTCAAGGGTCAAATATCAATTTTGCCTCTAAGTCCATCAATTTTGGAACTGGTTAAAATGCCACATGTGCATAAAAGCAAGTTCATAACATGGTTGACCTAATACTAGGCCTAGATTTTAGATCCACTTCCTTAACTTGTCATCAATACTATTTTCAACTCATGCATCCTTTTGATCTGGTTCTTTTTGTATTTGATTCTTTACCACGAGGAGAACATTTGGCATGAAGAACATTCCAAAATGCACGAGTAAATTTCATTTGGCCTAAGCTTGAACATGGCACCACGAACTCTGTTTTGCAGCTATGACATGCAACTCGTAATCATGCAAAACTTCAATTGGGATCACCAATACATGTCAAAACTTGTTTCTCTTTGAAAAACACGTCCCATAGTGTGAAAACCGACTTGATTTAATCTCAATTTCACCCATTTCTTGCTCTCTTTTCATACGGATTGAAAATCAAAATATCTCAACTTGGTTCGCATGTTTGGGATCTGATTCCACACGTACCATAACCTCATTGATTTTCTGTACTACGGTGGAAGAACTGACTTGGTTTTGTATTTTATCACAAATGTTGAGGATATCAAGAGTTGCAACCGACTTTTCTTTTATCCAATAAGGAAAGGGTGAAAAGAACAGGAAAAGACCTTTGAGATTTTCTTGAGTTCGGGGGGTAGGTTATGAAAAGGAAAGGTGTTATTACCCTTTTCATCTGTAGTTATCTGCAGGCTCTTAATTGCTAGCTCACATTTGAAAATTCTTTGTGTTTGTGTTTGTTTGAAAATATTTTGAAAAATGCCTAAGTATGGTGAACTTTGTAATGATTCTCGTATCGTTAAGAATGCATCCAAAGTGTTTGAAAATATTTATGAAGAAGTTCTTATGAAAAATATGTTTGTTTTTGTGAGCAAGCGATTACGAGAGATCTACCTACTCAAAAGTCTTTCGTGTTATTTTCCTCCTCCTTAGATAGTGTTACTCTACCATTAGTTAGTAAGAATCTCTATCGTTGGATGTGAAGGGACATGCGAGGGTCATTGTATAGTTATCGAAGGAAAATCGTAGAGACGCTTTAGAAATTATCGTTTAAGGGACTAGATCATTTACTGAAGGCAACGTCGAAAGGATCATCGAGCGACTATGATCTTTTGTATCAGAGGGACTTTGCTAAAGCGTCCCCACATTCGAGGGACATAACTATTTTTATTCGAAGGCAACAAGTGAGGTTACCCTAGAGGTGAGTGTGTGCAATGTGATTCAATTCAGTTATTTAATCTTGATTAGGGTTATCTAACGATTGATTTTAGATCTTGCCATACATACCCTAACTACTAGCAGTTATAAGGAAAACAGTAAATTGCATAAAGTAAAGGTGCGGAAAGTAAACCAAAACTATTACAAGGCTTCATGGAAGGGGTTACAAAACCATAAAATCAGGGAGAAAGAGTGAAGCAAATAAAAGCCCTAATTAAACTATTACATACTGTAGCAGTTACATAATCGGAAAAACTAATGCGAAAGTAAATGCACGAAGATTGTAAAATAAAAAGAAAGTTAAAAATCATTTTATGATTGTTTGATGATTAACCTAAAGAAAACCTAATTGACTTTAATTTAGAAGAAAAGAATTAGTTGATTAAAAAGAACTGATTAATTAAGCAAAACCCCTAAATTCTAGGTCG